TAGGAGCACTTGCATGCTGACCTGCAGAGACATGGTGAGAAGAGGCATCCCTAGAAGGTGGCTGGGACGGAGGGCAGGCTCTCTGAAGCTTGACTGAGTGGGGTGGATCTCCTTCCCTAGATACTTGGAAATACAGGAGGACATTGCTGAGGACATTGCTGAAATTTAATTTATTCATGGCTCTGAATTTATATATTCATTCTAGGCCTTTGTGCTATTTCCCATAAAAGGTGGCTGCATCAGGCAGATGATTTAAATGTTGCTGCTTCTTCATTTCCAAATCTCCATGAAATTTCAGGGGATATCATTAATTGGTCTTCCATCCAAGACAGCTCAGAATGCAGAGCTGTCTGGAATGCCTGCCTTTTTCATTGGTTCCTATCAATATGATACAAGAGTGGATCTTTATGTGTAGAGTTAAGACAGTTGCAGAGGCAGGTTTTAAACGTTAGGCTTGAAGTTTCCTTTCTTTAATTGAAGTATTCTGGTGCTCTGCTGCATTTGAGTTTTCTGTTAGTACGAAGTGCACCTGTGCGGGGGATTGAAACAGGCGTGTTTGGGTCGCTAGTCAGCGATGGTTTACGTCGACCTCGTGCTCAGCACTCTGCATTAACCACCTTGTCATTTCCTTTCAGAGAGGCAAGAAGAGAAGCTAAAGAATAACAACAGAGACCTGTCAATGGTGAGAGCCCCAAATGTAACTTCCTGGTGAACCATATGATGTTTTTTAGCAAAACATTTGCATCAGGTTCACCACATTCGCCTTTTCAGAAATGTGCAGTCTCTGCAGGCCTGTAAATGCTCATGGGTGTTCCCGGCCAGATGGAGGTAAAATATGCTGCTGAGAGGAAACCTCACTTGGGTGATGTGAACAGACCTTAGGCTGTCTTGAGGTCATCCTTTGTTCCTTTCACGCGATTTGTAATCAGCTCCCCTGTGTTTATCTTCCTCTACGTTAATGCTGCACCACAGGTTTATGGTTGGAGTGTTACAGGGCCTCTTGTTCTTTGAGAGCCTTTTGTTCTGAGTGGCAGGCATACCATTAAGTGTAAGACTCACGTGATTTCATTGTCCGTTGCTTGTTGTTTATAAAGAGCACAGTTCTACACGTCTTTCTGAGGCATGGGTAGGCTAATGAGATGGCCTGTCTAATTTCTCTACTTGATTTCTGTATATTTAATGTAGGGCATCTGAACTTTGCAACAGGTAAGACGCCTTACTGAGAATACTTTACTATATATCTCTATCTTGAAATTCTTATTAAGAAAGATTATAATTCAGAGGTGTATTTTTAAAAAATGGCTTTTCTTTTCTGTTGACACAATTACTACTTGTTCACCGTAGCAAATTTGGAAGCTACTGAAAGAAGAGATAAAGTTCAGATATAACAACTGTTAATCTTACATCTTTATAGTCTTTGGTTTATTTATACTTTTATGACATAGTGGTTAAGAAAGAAGTTAGCTTCAAGTAACAACACTTAACTAACAAAGGCTTAAACAGATAAAGGTTTTTTCACTTGCTCCAGAAGTCTGGGGGTGGGGATGGTCCTGGGCTGGTGTGGCAGCTCAGGGGTGTCATCCGCAATGCAGGGAGCCGTCCTTAGCTTCAGGCTGTCTGGGTCGATGCTGCTTCACCTCCAGATTCTTCGTTCCAGGCAAGAGGAGTGAGTAGGAGGCCTGCAGGATGGATGCCAGCCACGCCTGTCCCTTTTCAAAGTCCTTTCGGCACTGTGCCTACAACTCGGCCAGAATTGGCCTACTGGCCACCCCAGACTGTCCACCAGCAAGGAGAAGAGGGCCTGCAGGTGGAGGGTGGTTAGCTGGCAGACAACTTTTGGCTAAGGAGCTCCTTTAAAATATTGCATGAAACCAAACTTTTGGGGTGTGCTTCAGTTGTGGTTTCTCCTCAGTGTGAAGTGACAATGTATCGGTCTCCTTACAGGTTCGAATGAAGTCCATGTTTGCAATTGGCTTTTGTTTTACCGCCCTGATGGGGATGTTCAATTCCATGTGAGTGCCCCTAACTGTCATACTGTGGTAATATTTTGATATTTCAAATGTACGGAAAAGTTTCAAGAATAGTATACCCATTATCCAGATTCACAAATCTTAACATTTAGCCCCATTCACCTTCTCTTTTTCTCTGTCTCCATATCACATCTTTCCTCACATGGCCATGATTTATGTATTTTTCTGAGCCATTCGAGAGTGTGCTGCAGTCTTCATGCTCCTTTATATGACAACTAGAGTGTGTTTTCCCTCAGAACATGGACATCCTCTTACATAACCTCAACCCAGTTATCAAAATCAAGGAAAGTTAATTTTGATTGAATACAATCATATAACCTTTCACCCTCTTAATATTGAAGATATTTTATATACAAGGCAAAGAGTAAGGTGTTGTGGGGCCTTCAAAAGGAAGGTAGTCATATAGAGATGTTGTCACTCTTAAAATAGAGTCTTAACAACTGTAATCTCTTAATGATAAGGTAGGTTACTGGTGTCTGAACCATCAGGGAGCAGGCCTGGGAAATAGTGGAACTGCTTTGACAGGAGCTGGACAAGTGCCAAGATGACAGACGTCACTTGTTACCTGTCAGAGCTCATCCAAACCCTCCCACTTGGATTGCAATTTCCCTCACCCTTTCCTTCCCTTTCTCCTACTCTTCCTCCTGGCTTCTTTTCTGTCTGTCTGTCTGTCTCTCCCTCTCCCTGTAAACTGCCTCCCCCCCCAGTCTGTTCTTCTCTCCCCAACTGTTAAGTGCCACTCTGTGCCAAGCATGATTCCAGATATTGGAATATAACATGTCAGGTGTGCCCCTACCCTTGGTGATACCAACATTTTATTAACCAACATATTTTATTGGGGTGATGTTGGTTAATAAAATATGTATGGGAAGAAAAGACAGACAAATAAATATTGATGGATGTTATAACAGAAGTGGGGGGGTTCAGTAGGGGGAAGAAGTGATGTTTTTGCCTAGGGGAGGGGCCAGAGGAAGTGTTTAATGACTTTAATACAGAACTACTACCTAACTATTGAGGGACCTTTGGAAGATTCAACAACTTGCCCAAGGTTTCCAGAAGTCTCATAATTTCTAACTTATAATTCTAAATTCAGTATTCTTTTATATATATGTATGTTTTTTATTGATTTCAGAGAGAGGAAGGGAAAGGGAGAGAAGAAATAGAAACATCAATGATGAGAGAGTCAATTGATCGGCTACCTCCTGCATGACCCCTACTTGGGGATTGCGCCCGAAACCTGGGCATGTGCCCTGACCTGAAATTGAACTGTGACCTCCTGGTTCATAAGTCAGTGCTCACCCACTGAGCCATGTTGGCTGAGCAATTCAGTACTCTCTTTTTCACTGTCATGCTTTCTCTCATTTCTTGGGTACATATCACCATGAATTACCAGGCAAACCAAACACTGAAAGGTTTTATAGTTAATAAGTAAGCTTCATTGGTACAACTCCAGTACTCATACATCCTTAAACTTGTCATATTCTGGCTCAGTACACTAGACTGGCTAAGGACTCAAAACTTCTGATTTTATTTTTTTTACTTTTTTATTGAATTTATTGGGGTGATGTTGGTTAATAAAATATGTAGGTTTTAGGTGTACAATTCTATAATACATCATCTATATGTTCACCACCCCAAGTCAAGTCTCCTTCCATCACTCACACTTCTGAGTTTTAAAATGATATTTTCATAGCTCTGTGTGTGTGTGTGTGTGTATGGATATGTGGATGTGTATGTGGGTAGATGTGGGTGTATGTGTGGGGGTGGGGGTGTATTGTATATGTGGGGGGTGTAGGT